TTCATACTTTGCAAGCAAAACAATTTGAAGACACTTATAAGGGGTTTATTTTGAATTATCCACATTTTTTTTTATTCCATGACTGATTCTTTTTACTTTATGATGTAAAAGAGTTGAAAATGTAGATATTATATACTTGAATGAATTTCTGTTATTTTTGATTGCCACAGTTTATGTGTTGGAGCCCACATTCAAAACTCTCAAACGCTTTAATATTTAAGATACGAACAGCTGGGGATGAAAGTCATATACATCACTTTCCCCAGGCGACGCCAGAGCCATAATTGCAGTTATTGTTTCCATTATGTGCTGTAAATAGTTTCCTGCCCATAAAATGACTCCTGACTTTTAATTCTAAACCCATGGGTACATATAGAAATAATATATGTAATGGTTTATCCCTGTATACATAGAAATATTGATAGCTCACTTTAAAAATGAACTTTACTTCAGTTAATAGCCACAAAGATGAACTGCACTAATGGGTAAGAAAGCTTATCCTAGGTAGAAACAGGCATATAAGGAAGCAGAGTGCATCTTCAGGATTCTAGAACAATGCTTTGTAGTATCATCAAGGCCCTAAAGAACAATGGCATTTGTTCCAATTCAAATCATGCCCATGGGTGACTTCAATGGTTGGTGTGCATTCCCCTTGATCTGAAACATAAACTTGTAAGGAACAAGTCCATTTATTTTTTTAGTATGTTCTATACCATAATTATACCACAGTGCAAAATTAAAACACAGGACAAAAACTACCACTAAAGCACCAGCATGATTCAAATTTGAAGAAAATGTCAAGCTTTCTATCACATTTAATTACAGCTGAGCTCTCTTATACATGGAAGAAAACCGGAAAATGAAAAAAGCACCCCCTCCCCCAAATCTTGGCTAGATAATTATTGTGGAGATTCAGTATTGTGGGATTTTGCTGAAAGATGCCTCTTTTATTGTAAATAGAACAACTTGTTTGCTGTCCTTTAAGGTGCTAACTAAACACTTTTTGAAAAATATGAAAGTGTGCATCAGAATAACTCTACATGAATGTAACAGGGAAGGCTGGAATAGGAATACTCTATTTGTGGAGTGAATAATATTGAGAGAAAAATTACATACTTTTTCAGTTGCAACTCATTTAGAGGAGTTTGAGTTTGTTATTTTAAAAGATTACAACTATACTCCTCGTTGTTTATTTACGCGGTGGGGACCTAGAGTATCATCTAATGTTCAAACTATGGTTTTCAGATGCAAATTATCACTTTAAATTTTATTAAATTCAGTACATATAAAATGGTTGTTCTAGTGCTGGAAAAGTATGCAAGTTTCAAATATTATGAAATATCAAACACCAGAAAAATTTCAGGAACTATATACACAGTAGAAAAATAATACTACCATAGACCAGCTGTCTTAGATATTCTAAATATCTAGATAATAAGGAGAAAAAAAGGATACAAGTTCTGAATGTTCTCAGTTGGGTGTTGAGATTCTGAGGGACACAATTTATGTTCCTAGAAAAATAGGTGATAAGGAGAAAGGAGGCAGAGCTGATGGCAAGTTGAAAATGGGGTTCTAGGATTTAAAAACATGTTCAAAGTAATGATAAGCTGGAGGCCACCATTCCAAGAAACATGAAACTATCTACCCAGCAAACTGTGGATTAGGTCACTGTCATAAACTCACTAAAAATGTTTTTCTGTCATCTATGATTATTGTTTTAATGGAAAGTAACAGGAAAGTGACATTCAAAATACCTTCATGAAACCAGCTGTGCTAGAGTGTCCCAGTGTAAACTATATGTAAACTGAGCTTCAGCTGAATAAGGAAATGCTTTCGGCAATCCTATATTTTTGTTCCAATGTTGTAGGACTGTCAATAAAGATGTTTGTTGGTTTAAGTGAGACCAGAAGTTGTTTCATCAGGGAAGGTGCTGCCTCAGCTTGTGTCTTGCTCAGATTGGCCAGATCATTTGTATGTTCGTGGAATGAAGAACAGTATATCTTACTGATAAGAAACAATGCCGTTATTAAACAAAGGAGCTCTGTGTGAGGTCAAACCTGTGATTACATTTGGCCAAAAAAAGTGTGACCATGACTTTAATCAATGATTTGGCTTGCTAGCTGTTTCTCATTTATATAAATTAGTGTAAGTGTTCTCTATTTATCTGTGTAATACATACAGCCACAGGTAGCATTGATCAGTTACATTTCTTGCCTTCACAGGAAAGTGACAGTAAAAAAAAAAAAAACCCAGAAAACAAACGTGCACCCTCATGTTAAAATCAAGAGAATCACTGACTAATCCTGTGTCTACCAGATCACACATTCATCCCCGAACACTCAGCTGCCGATACTTAGTCCTTAATGTTATGAAGCAGGGGTTCTTGGGTCGTCACCTTAGGAAGGCTCTTAAAAGGATTGAGAACGTTCTTAATTCTTCAAAGTGCTTTGTATAATCCTGGATCCTAGTTAAATTTTTAATCTTTTGGGGTGGGGGCAATTTTGAGTTGTTTTGTCTTAAAAGCCTCTCAAGGATATTTGAAAAGGGCCTTATAGAACAGCTTCACTTGTAGCAAACCCAAAGACAAAAGAATTAGGAGCATTAGAATCATAGATGAAATTCAAGACTATCAATCAAAGTGAATTGCAAATTGTAACATTCCGTAAAAAGTGATAAGCAAGTAATTATTGAAAGAAAGTTCTATATATTGTTTTAAAGGCTAATTCCGATAACACTAGGTTCTCACCTCAACTCTCAGAAGAGAAAAATAACAGAGGTATACCAATAGAAGCTGTTAAATAACCAGATGGGAAATACAGGAAAATGCACCTGGTTCTATGAAGCAGGTAATGCTAATAAATCTCTATCAAAAAGTCCAAACCAAAAAAATTTACTTGTTTCAATCTCTGGCTAGAAGGGATTCTGTGAGCACTGTGAGGCAATTAAGCAAGATGACCTTAATTTAATAAATATTTATTGAGCACTTGCTATATGCCGGGCTCTGAAGATAAAAAAGAGAAAAAAATTAAGACACAATCTTTGACTTCAGAGTATTTATATCCTAGTGAGAAAGGCAAAAATGTAAACCAGATTGCTCTGTCAAATATATTTATTGGAGCACAGAGGAGGGAGGGAGATGAACAAGTATCACTGATTTTATGGATTTCAGTAATGAGAAATGAAATATAACATTTTTGGGTCGAGAAAGTGGATGGAGAGGCCATTCACTGAGAAAGAAGACAGTGAGAGGGAGAGATGATATGTTCTATTCTGGATAAAGTTCTGGAAGCTGTCCTAAGTGGAGGCCAGGAGTTCAGACAGATGGGTGGGTTGAAGATCAGGACTTGAACATCACTTGTTTGGAGAAGATGGCTGAAATAATGGAAAGAGATCATCTCTCCTAGTGAGTATGAAAGGATTGTCAAAGATCAAACTCTTTTCGGGAGCTGGCATTTAGGCCAGTAATTCTCAACATTGGCTAAACACTGGACTACACTGGGAAGCTTAAAAAATATTGGTGCCGGGGTCTCATTTCAAGAGATCTGATTTAATTGGTCTGGGGCAGGGTCTGGGCACTGGAATTTTACGAAGATCCCCAAGAGATTCTAAAATGCATCCAGGGTTGAGAACCGTTGTTTTAGGGGATGTTGCAGGAAGAGTAAAGAAACCATCAAAGAGGAAGCTCAACAGAAAGATGGCTGTGGGGATGCGAAAGGAGGGGTTTTCCCGAAACGGAAATGTGTTAACAGGGTTGAAAATTACAGAAAGGCTAATAATGTGGTGACTAAAATGTTTCTGATACTAATGACCGATGAGATTAGGAAGTGTAGTTCTGGTGGAGTGGAGAGGTCAGAGCCAGATGCCGTGGACTCATTGCACCTGGTGGGGAAGAAATCAATGCAATGCAATGAATATTGGGAATATGTTTTCAAGGAGCTTGGCTGTGAAGGGAAGAGAGAGGACCTCGGCTACAGAGACAAGCCAGGTGGAGAAGGGTTTTTATTTTGAAAGATTTTAAAGAGATTTTATCATATCATAATAGGAGGCTAAGGGACGGCACTAATGGAGAGCAATGGAAAAGGGGGCAAGAATGGGTGGAGGGAGAGAGAGAGAGACAGTAAATATTTGACAGAACAAGATCCTGCGGTAGGTACGAGCTGGGAAAACACAGATAAAATCTTAAATTTATGTCCTTTTTTTTTTGGTCTAAGACATATAAAGATCTAAGCATTTTCTTTTGTGACCACTGTTTTCAAAATGCAATTTCAAAGTTAATTCTCAATAAGCCTAAATATTTTAAATCAAAAAAAGTTCATGTACTTCTAATTTATCTCAAATTTAAATAAAAACTCCAGTTGTAATCAGTAAACACAAACCAATTTAATGTTATTTAAAGGAGACAAATGACATATTGACTATGACTATTTCTTTTAGACTTGATAAAGTATTTTAAGTAGTCTTATTACTACAGTTTTGCCAAATGCAATTCAAGTAAGTCCCTGATTTTTCTCTAAGGAAGGATATTTTTGAAGCTGAATCATAAATTACACATTGTACCCTGACAAAATTACCGTTTCATGGCATTTGCATCAAACCCATTATCTTGTGTTGTTGCCTAGTTACTGGAATTCTGAAGTTTAACGCATTTTAGATGGATATTTAAATTTCAAACAGAATTTCAGCAATGCAGTCTGCAGAAAGAGAAACAGCTGGATGCATCTTTTTACTTAAATTTCCAAAGGCAACTTCTTTCTCTGCAAGGGCTCGGGCTTGCTAAGTTTTGGAGAAGGGTGCAATCAACATCACATATCAAGACACACTTAATTCATATCAGTTTTTTGGTCTGTTTTTGTTTTTACTATGGGAATGGAGGAAAAATTCCCTTTTTGTCTTTATTAAATGTTTAAGGCTTTAAACCTATGATTTAGGTCCTGTTTCATTAGTATAATTCTGATTATAACATACACATGCATGCATCTTTATAGTATATACAGACTTACCTGTTCCCATGCGAACACGTGTTGATTGAAATAATACTGAATTTGTTCATTTGCAATGTTAATGCACAGCTGCTCAAAGGAATTTTTTTTGAAATTTTCAAAGCCAAATATATCCAGAATGCCAATGCTCAGTTCATCACCATTCCCACTGGAAAATTAGAGAGGCATTATTTTGGAGTCCTGTTTCCTTCCTTCCTTTTTAATATGGAACACTTCACGAATTGTGTGTCACCCTTGCGCAAGGGCTATGCTAATCTTCTCTGTACTGTTCCAATTTTAGTATGTGTGCTGCTGCAGTGAGTACCCTGTTTATTTTCTTAAGAGGTAATGTAAAGCAGGGCATCTCAGGAAACATGTTTTGATTTAGCTAAGAAACTACTAAGCATACACACTTAAGAGTGAAAGTTTTAATTTAAAAAGTTTCCCTTTATAGAACATAAACATAAATTACGCAGCATCGATTTTAATATGTAGATGGTCAATATTTTTCTTGCACTACGGAAACCGTTTCTATACTATCTTATATACTTGAACAAAAGAAACTTCTTTCCTATGGGTTTACTAGAAGATCACAGCTCTGAGTGATTAATGATTCATAAGGAAAACCCGGCTAAGCACTCAGAACACAGCAGAAATATGTTCGGTAAAAACCATATTGGAAAAGCACAAATTCTGTCAAAGAGTATATGTAGTCTTTAATTTTAGGACAACAATTAAAACATCTTGCTAAAAATATTTTAATTATTTTTAAGAATCCTTATTTATTATTGGGTCATTCACTCAATTTTTTAATATAGAAGAAATGGTAACCTGAAGGAAGATATAAATATATGTGGATTGATTTTATAATTAAATATTTTAAAATACAATTAAATATTATTTTATAATTACATATTCCAAATGCATTCTTTCATGTTCCTCCAGAATGGTTACCTCAGCTCACTAAAGGTTAGATACGTGGCCCAAAAGTTTGTCTTCCCCCAAGGAATGCATGCATTGCCAAGTTCTTTTCATGTGAATTTAAAAAGGGAAGTACAAATATTTCTCTTGGTGTTTACCATTTACATAACTATGTTACTCTTAGTGTTGTGTGAGGCAGTGATTTGTAAATGACAGCCGGCAACTGCATGCTAGGAACTGAAGAAGGATGCTCTCCATAATGGGAGGAACTGACTGATTTTAGAACACAGAGATACAGAACACTTTGAATATGTGATGAGACTGACAAAAGGAAAGCTATCCTATTGAAAGTTCCTCTTTTGAGTAGTAAGTGTAATTTTATGTGGTTATACGAGGCAAAGTGATTAAGTTAACATTTATGCTGCTTCAGTCAAAATGATTATTCTTTTAGCATCTATTTATCCCAAAGAGTCTCACAGACATAAATATTCAACTTGTATAATAATATATTAAGGGGAGGACCTAAGAGATAATCTAATTCAAGGATTCTCAAACTAGGATCTGTTAATGGCCTTCGATGGTCTGAAATCACAATCGTGTGCAATATTTTGGTGGATATGTGTCAATACATACTTTTTTTTTTTTTATTTTGGAGTGAAGGACATTATTTTCAAGAGGTTCTTAAAAGGCTCCAAGATACTTACCAACAATTGGACTTGTCATTCCATGCCCTCACTTAATAGCTGAGGAGGAAGAGACTCAAGAGAAATGCGGGAACTTGCCCAGGGCCACACAACCAGTTGGTGGCAAAGCCTGACACAGAAGTCGGGCTCTCCAAAATCTTAGTGTAAATCTAGAACAGTTTGAACTAAATGATTACGATGGCCTCGTTTTAATATTTTAAACTTTTTGTAAAAAAATTTAAAAGTCTAAGATTTGGATAGTTTTCACTAGTGTATGGGAAGGAAAGTCGCCATGTAGCAGGTCGGCTATAGAGGAATTTTCAAAAGATCACCTGTTGAGAAGTCATACTCTTCTAGGTACCATTTGGTGCCAAACATGCAGATGATAACTAACGAAATGAGGCAAATTTCTGAATAGCAAGCTTACATTCTGTGGAAGATATAGATGTTAAAAATTTTTTGAATTTTTTCATTTTCATCTGAAAGCTTGGCATCATATAGATGGCCACACATGAACATACAAACTATTTCACCATTAAATTTTAATATGCAAATTGGATTGTGATTGGCAGATCCAGTCAGATGGTATAGTTGCTATGAAGTAAAGAAGCAATTCTGAGTGGATAATTTTGACTGGATAATAGTATGGTGTGGTATGTATTTTAGTGGAAAAATAACAATGACTTGCATGCCTGAAATGTGTATAAAATGGTCTTTTATGTTTAGTAAGCAAGCATGAATGAGGTGATCTAAAGATAGATGTCCATCTTTTTTTTAATATACAAATTTCTAAAGATTGTATAATTTATGGCATAGCAAAACTTCTTATGTAAATGTAAGGACTTAAATCTTGTGCAATCCCTGGCATCTTTATTTCTAAGATGAAGTACCAGGTAGGCATAGAGTTATGTTCAGATAACACCATTCTTCATATCCTGGACCTTCCATTTACTAGTTATTTGGAGCATTTCTGAACCAAATTTCAGTGGAGGCCAGAACACCTACCTTTACGGGATTATAGTAAGAGCTAAAGTATAAGAAAAAGTTTTCCTTTGCCTTCAAGATTTAATTCAAATCCTCGAAACAAAAACTAAAACTGCCGAATTGACACTTTATACAAGTATAAAATGGTATATACTTCACAGTACACCTTCTAATTAAAAGACATATAAATTGATAGGAAGAGGTCACCTTAAAAATTCACTTTCTATTATGTTTATTTATGTTGCTATAGTTTTCATGTTCCAACAATTAAAAGAATTTTTAGCTACAGGGCACAGTGAAGTGGTACTATTAGGAAATAAAGCAGATCTACTAAAATATAACTTTCATAAATTAAATGATACCAATTAGAAACATCTTCAAAGGGACTCTGAGCGGGGGAGGTTGATAAGAGTAAAGGGGGTCAAAATATGGTGACAGATGGAAATTTAACTTTGGGTAGTGAACACGTAACGCAATATACATATGATGTATTATTGAATTTTGAACACTTAAAACCTATATGATTTTATTAACCAATGTCACCCCAATAAATTTAACTTAAAAAAATATAAAATAGATTGACATCATCTGACATTTGGGAAAAAGTGTTTCTATAAAAATTTTTACCTTGGTGATGTGTCATCCTTCAACAGGTTGTTAATGCGATTGACTATCCAGCTAAAGAGACGGCCATATAAAGTTTTAGCCATAGCATCTCTGACATCAATAGCTTTTTCTACAGTATTGGGTTGTATAATGGTTTCTCCTCTAGTGACCACACAGTGGGAGGTGAGAGCTTCTTGTAGCTCATCTGGCTGAATGCAAAGCAAAGAAGCAGCTAAAAAAGAAACAGATCTGTTGTTAGAAGATATTATAGCAGTGAAGTAACTTCCCAGAGAATAAAAATGTCTTAACTGACCTTCTTCAAACGCCATGAAATCAATATGTGAATATTTTGTAAAGTAAAATTCAGTTATTGTTTAATAATCTTGACCATTTGTCACTATCTATCTCTACTGGCCAACTGTGGGCTGCTATAAAATATAGCATGGCACAAAGCAAAGTGGCTGACAGAGTGAAACGTCTGTACACGCGAGTGGTTGTTATGTGATGCCAACATGATTTCACTGAATTATGTTGAGTAATTTAAGACATAGTGAATAGATAGCATAATTTGGATACACATTTTCAAAATGTAAAAATTAATTGGAAGGTAACGTAGACTTTAGGGATATACCCAAATGAATGCATTTTATGTACCTTCTGCAGTATAAAAGAACAGAAAAAGACATTCATATTCAACCCAAAGAACATAAACCTATCCTGACATTCATATACCTTTTACCATACTCCCTTTTAGTTACATATTTCTTTGCTAAATTTTGTTAGAACTTGATGGCCAAATAAACATTATTTAGTTTTTAATGATAATTATTCATCATAGTTTGGTTCATACCTACAACATGCCTTTATTCATACCTACAACATGTCTTTATTGCAATTCATTCTGTTAGCTGTTGATAATTCTCCTAATTATGATCAGATGGTGAGATTTGAATCTTATCTTTGGAGTCTTCTGGTTATTCCTTCCACTTCTGATAATCTAATATCTTATGTGCCAATTAAGTTTTTTTAATACATGAAAAATTAGGACAGGTTTCCAGGTCCACGCCAATCATTACATGCTAATCTCAGACATTCATTCTGCTGCATTGCCAAGCTGGTTCCAGAGACAGTGGGATGGAAATAACAAGGACCTGGGACAGGTCCAGCCCAGGATGGGTTGGCATTTGGCCCGATGAAAATTACCCTAAAACATCTCATTTTGTTGCTGAGCAAGTATAAATCAGAAAAAATATACAAATAAAAATTTATATCATGCAATTATCCTTATGTGACACAAACAGTATGTCATTCGACTCTCTTTAAGAGTTCAGTTGTGAATGGAAGAGAACAGAACTCACAGTTCTCCAGCGCAGCATGATTGGGAATGTGGCTCTTGTCAGTCTGGAATTCAGTTGCCACAGAAGAAAACTCAATGTTTCCCACATTCAAGATGGCAGCGAGAATACTGTATATACTTCCGAGTTGCTGAAAGACAGCACAGAAATGTTAGCATCATTCTTCTGTTGAGTAGAGCAGTGACTGCAGCTGGGAACAATCTGGGGAAGAATCCTTAGGCTCTAGAATAAGACGGTCACCCTGCAGACTTTGACGTCAGACTAAGGACCCAGGTAGGCAAGGTTCCAGAGAAGCAGGGGCTTACGATTTTATCTTAAGAGGTGAGCATGGTGCCTGTTACCCAGGGAGTGCTAAAAATATTTTATGAATGCAAATATGAATACAAAGCAGAAATGAGGAGCTCCCCTCAGGGGAGCAGAAATATCTAATTCATTAGGCCACAGAGAAATCTCTCCATGTGAAACTTAACTTCGGAACTTAATGTGGTTGTTTCCATATGCGCATCTTTCTTGAGGTCATCTTAAAAGAGAGGTTGTACATGTGGAGAAAGGATAGCTAAAGAAGAAAACTCAAAAGATCCCAGCACTAAAATCAAAAGACATGTGTGGTTTAAGACTAGGCATGAGAACTTTGGACTAAAGCCTAGAGTTTACAGTAATTGCTTTTTTTTTTTTTAATCACAAAATCCTAAATGGTACAGTGAGGAACAGGAAAGATAAAATCCTTTATTGTTTTCTCATTTTGCTGCATTTATTTTAGCCCGGCACCTATACGTAACAAAAAATGATTATTTTACCCACTCCCACATTCTGAGTCAAGATAAATGCTGGAGATGAAAAACATCTTCAGGGATATTTATTCATTCATATATAACATGCATGTTAAATAAATATATAAATATATTTGTTGAATGAATCCTCACCAGCATTGGGTGTCAGTGTTTTGAATCTTGCTCATTCTAATAGGCGTGTAGTGGGATCTCATTGTTGTTATAGTTTCTTATGTAAAAAACAACATTTCTGCTTCTGAACTTAAAGATCCTGAAGATAAAGATCTACGGCTGGTCCACAGGCCCTGTTTAATATCTAGCCCATTGCTTTCTCATGTTTGGCGATGACTCAAATGTCGTAATGAATGAATAAGTATGCTTTTTATGGTAGATTATGAATATCGTGGTGTCCAGGGAAAGTAGAATGAATATGTCACCTTATAGCTCATTATAAAATATAGGATGTATCTGATTTACAAAACATTATATTCAAAAAGTGTCTTTGTAAGTGACTTTGGGACATGAAGTATAATGCTGTAGTATAAAACACCTTCCTCCTTGTTGGCTTTGTCAGCCTCAATGTGTAACTTGCTCCAAAGCTAAATGGAACATTTCCTTAGTTGAGCCCACCATAATTCACAATCTAACCAAAACAGTGCACCTTTGTAATAAAAAGATAGAAAATAATATTATCGAATTATGTTTTTTAAATGATAAATGAAATAGACTATATCCTCAAACAAATAGATACGTAATTTAAGACGAATAATTATACCTGAACATATTATAATATCAGACTGAAAACAACCCTGAAAATAAGAATATGTCCCCATGGGCTTGAATTCTGACACTTGAGGAAAAGCAGTTTTTTAAGGAGAAAATGAGAGAGTTTTGTATAGATTCTAAAAGAGATTCTGTGAACATTCAAGTGCAATAGTAATCGATGGCTCTGATCCTATTTTATGTTTAATTTAATTAAAAAATATTTTTTTCTTGATATGGGTGTTACTGATATAATGAGTTTAAAACTATAGCCTTTGAGCCTGGAGTTATAAAAAGAATGCAGAATTCAGTCATAAGGTATGGGGATTGGTTGAATCCAAGGAAATAGTGAACATATGGTTTATGGTTTCCCGATGACAACAGCAGAGAGAGCACAGCTCGAGAATATATTCAGATCTGTGGTTTGAATCAATCATACTGGAACAGCGTTTCTCAATCAGAGACCACTTTGCCCTGAGGGGTCATTTGGCAATGGCTGGAGACAGTTTTGGTTGTCACAGATGGGGCTGGGGTGTTACTGGCATCTAGTGGGTTGTGGCCAGAAATGCAGCTAAAGCTCCCACAATGCATAGGACAGCCGCCCCCCCCGCCCCGACGACAAAGAATTATCCAGCTTCAAATGTATGTAGTGTCAAGATTGAGAGACCCTGTCCTAGAGACATGCAGGACCTAGGTCCCAGACAAAGTCTTAAATTCTCTCTCTCTCGAAGATGACTCTGAACTTTCAGCCTTAGCTCGCAACCCTAGGAAAACATAAGAATAGAGGTATTGAAGTAAATCGAATCTACAGTATTGATTGTGGGCTGAATATGTGCCTCCCGAAATTCATGTTAAAGTCCTGACTCCTTAGAATGTGACCTTATTTGGACACAGGATCATTGCAAATGTAATTAGTTAAGATAAGGTCATACTGGAGTAGGATGGGCCCCTGAATCTAGTAATGAATGATGTCCTTCTAAAAGAACATGTGAAGAGACAGACAGACACACACACACACGGAAAATACCACGTCAAGAAGAAGAGGGAAATCAGGGTGATACACGCGCAATCCAAGGAACACCAATAATGGCCAGGGGACCACCAGAAAACAGGAGAGAGGCGTGAAACAGATTCTCCCCACAGCCCTCAGAAGAATGCAATCTTGCCTCTGACTTCTAGGCTCTGGAACCGTGTGGGAATAAATTTCTGTTGCTTAAGCCACCCAATTTGTGGTACTTTGTTAACGGCAGTTCTAGCGAACGAGTACAGTATTTAAGCCACCCAATTTGTGGTACTTTGTTATGGCAGTTCTAGCGAACGAGTACAGCAACAATGCTTTTTTGTTAAATTTATGAATAAGACATGTAATCTTGTGACAATCAACGTGTTTATTCTTAAACGTTTAAAACTTTGAAGGTAACGTTAGACACAAAGCAAAAAATCTGACAATTAGTCTTGTGACTTGAATCTAAATGCTTATCTGATAATACACATGATTCTTATTTGAAAAGCATAACATAATTTGAGTGCAAATCATATTCAAAGGTATAAGATGACTTGATCTATATTAATAATTTTAAATTATTAGATTTTCATGGCTAATAAGTCTAAGTGCTTAAGAAGATTTAGTTATATGATTAGAAAGTTTGGAAAGTGCTTACCAGTCCTTATAAGCCTGTGTGTCAGTCAGTTGCAATATTTGAAAGACAGGGAAGTACTAAATTTTTATATAGTTTCAGGTGTTTGAAGACATATTTTTTTTCATTAAAAATTTTTTTTTAGGTGAGGCAACTCTTGGTTGATCTCACAGATTGCAAGGACCTGGTCAACTTACAATCCCTTGTTTTTTATTTTTTACGCCTACAGCACCTGGTCTTCCTAGGTGGTCTCCCATCCAAGTACTAACCAGGCCCGACCCTGCTTAGCTTTCGAGATCAGATGGAATCGGGCTTGTTCAGGGTGGCATGACCATAGATTTGAAAAAAACTTAATTGTATCTGTTTAGGGCATTTTAAAGCTACATTTATGAGTTAAGTGAAGAAAGTTGACTGAAAGTTATTTCTATTCTTACACAAAGATTGATAAATTAAGAAATTGAAAAAAAAAGGTGTAAAGAGAATGAGAAGCCAAAACACAGTGTAAGAGAAAATATTTGCAAAAGACACATCTGATCAAGAACTGTTGTCATATATATACATATATATATATGCATATATCCAATATATACATATATATGTGTGTATATATTGGATATATGTAATGAACTTTTAAAACTCAACGATTAAAAAAAATGATTAAAAAGTGGGCCAAAGATCTTAACAGACACCTCACCAAAGAAGATACGTAGATGGCAAAGAAGATTATGAATAGATGCTCCACAACATATGTTATCAGAGAGATGCAAATTTAAACCATAATGAGATACCACTACACACCTATTAGAATGTCCCAAATACCAAACACTGACAATATCAAATGCTGGTGAGGATATGAAGCAACAAGAATTCTCATTTACTGCTGGTGGAAACGTAACATAACACTGAGGTTACGGCCATACTGAAGACAGTTTGGGGATTTCTTACAAAACTAAACATACTCTTATCATATGATGTAGCAATTGAGGTCCTTGGTATTTACCCAAAGGGGATGAAAATTGATGTCCATACAAACACCTGTGCATAGATGTTTGTAGCAGCTTTATTCATAATTGCCAAAATTTGAAGCGACCAAGATGTCCTTTAGTAGGT